CAGAAACAAAACTTCTGACGAAATAGCAAATTGCGATGTTTAATTCCGGTGACTGAGCATTATATTCAGGAGACTATGATTCACTTTCTATATCAAAAGACTGTAAGATATAAGAATAGCCTTCATGTAAACGACAAAGATGATAATTAATTTCTTTTAGATGTAATACTGTGTTATATTTTAAAAATTTCATATTCATTAACANAGTCTTAACAGTAGTAAGACATGTGTTTTACAAAAATATTTGAGTAGTCACAACAAATATTTACTTTATCTTTAGATAACAGTTATAGATGCTACATTTTTTTGTTTTCTAATATTTTAGTAGTATCCTTTTCTTCTGTTTCATTTGTCCCTTGTAATATCTTGATAATTCTTGCAAATTTTTGAATTGAAGTATATGATGACTTTTTTGTATAAGCAGTTGAATCAAGGATTCACCCAGGTTTTCAAGAATTATTCTTTCTTGTAATTTTTGTTTTATGCATTTCTGGATTTATTTCATGCCATAACATAATGATATAAGCATTTATTATAATCCAAGATTATGTAATGATTAGTAATGTTGTCATTACTGATACTTACTGTAGCATCATAGTACATGTGCTTATGAATGTTAATTTTATTCTTTGGAGCATATGAAACTATATTTGAATTGTTTACAGAATAAAACTTCAAACAGAAAAAGTCTTTTTTGTATGTGTGATCTTTTGGTAATTCTGGCTTTTTTTTTGTACTTAACGTTGTCATATTTCTTTTCAAGAGATCTGTCCCAGTTTGTAAAAAAAATATTGCAAGTTACATCATAACCTTTCATCTTATAAGCAAAATTTAAAACAACTGTTGTTACTTGTTCATAAGTGTTATTCATCTGAAATCTTTGTTTTAGATTGGTTACAACTTATTTAGTGTGTCTTACTAAGCATTATATTAAATATAGGTCATGTAGACCGAAATATAATAAATAAAATAAATATACAAATAACAAAAAATCAAAGGATAATCAAACTATAACTTATAGAAGCTGTTAAACACTTTAAATTTTTGTGACATTTTATAACTTAAAATATTCTAAAATTTTTAAATTAAAACAGAAGTTATAAGTAGAATAAGGCCTTAATGGATCATATAGACCACAAAACACAATAGGAAGGATAAAATACAAAATTGTTATTGTTAAAGTTTAACACATAATTTAAGCTTTAATTTATATTGTATTCATTTTAAATATTTTATATTTCAGATTGGATTCAATTCAAAAGAGGTATGTTATGAATTTTATTCCAAATTTTAAATTTTACTACATTGATTTCCTTTAAGTAAATATTTTTATTTGCTTAATATCTTAACATAAAATAATGTATTTAATGTGCTATGTATTGATATTTCTTTTACAAGATAAGTTTTTTATAAGAAATTATTTATAATTCACGAAATACTAAGAATTTCAAAATATGTTTTGAAGATTTAGTTTAGTATTTTTTGACCATTTTAATATGTCAAATATCCTTTTATGACTAAGAATGAATGAGTTAAATGTACTGTACATAGCAAAAAGACAATGTTTAACAAAGGAAAGATTATTTTAAATATTACAGTTTATGTGGATAAGCTTGGTATAAACCTTTATTGAACAAAGAGAGAAAGTATGTTTTGAAGAAAAGTGTGTTTTCAAGAAAATTGAATTTTAATTAAAATGACTGAAAATGTGTGTGCAGCATGCCTTACTCATACTTATAAGATCATTGGTTCACATCTCAATAAGTAAACTTTTGCAACTTTAATGCATTTCTATTGCATTGGGAAAAATATATTAATGTTGGTTGAGACAATTTCAATTGAATATGTAAGTTTTAAATTAAATTAATAAACATTTAAAGACAGAAATAAAAATTGGCCATTTCATTTGCAACAACCTAATACATTGTATTTACTTTATGTAGTAATGAGGTCATATCCATTCTTCCAAAAAAATAAATATTGCTCTTCAATTTTTAAAAATGATTAAGTGATGATAATGAAAAAGTGAGATTTGAGTTAAAATCTTGGAAAATTATTACAATTTTCAAGTTTAAGGCTTTTAAGTTATGTTAGGATTGTGTTAATAATCTATTTTTTGCATGCCAACATGATGAAAATTGTAAAAAAAAAAACCAATATAGGAACTTTCCTTTTAAATGTTAATTTAAAAAGAACACATAGTAATTGATTAGAAACAATATGACAAACAACAAACTTATACATATTTTATCTTCACATTTGAAGATAAAATATGTTCAAAAACATTCACCTAAATGTCATTTTTTAAAAGTTGCAAAAGTAATTTCTAAATGTAGGAAGGAATACAAAAGATAATTTGATGTCATAATCCCAATAATTTTTATAATATAATTTAAGATTTTTCAAAATTATTTTTATTTAATGTTTAACTAATTATTAAAATAAGAAGTTATCTGCTGTAACAACTTTAAATCTCAATATAATTTATAATGTGAGCATATCTGTGTATTAGATTCTATTTTGTTGGTTTTATGTATAATTTTAACAGAGATAATGATTATGTAATAATCAAATGATAGAGTCCAATTAATCATCTGACTATAACTTGACTAATTATTTATACAGATAGTTATCTTGCTCTATCATTTGATTACTGTATTAGTATAATTTGGACTTAGTTTTTTATGTGATTATGAAACATTTACGATTATTATCAATAAATTATTTTTTTAATATATAAATTGCTTTTTAAATCATATAAATTTACTTATATAATTAATTGTCTTTTAATCTAATAGTTAGTATAATAATATGTATTGTATATTATATTCTTTTTAAATTTAACATTTAATATTTTCTTAATAATAATTTCAGTGTGCAAATGATAGAACAAGTTACAGAACAACTTCATTACCTTCATTGTTGAAGATGAAGCTAATGAGAACTTTGAAAAATAGTATAAAGTTAATTTTCATAAAGATATATATATTTTACCATTATATATCCTTTAATAATTATAATTTATGCTTTAAAACTGATTATTCTTGAAATAAACCATTTTAGAATGTATTCTTTATAATCACAACAGTTGTATATATTATTTATTGTAAATAAAATGCTTTAATTGATGTTTTTTATTTAACATTGAATCACAGTAATATTTTTATCTTTATATTGTTTAATTATGAATAAATTTAACTAAAATAATTAAATATTTCAAATAGATATTCAACCTATCATATTTAGTAGAATATGTAGAAGTTTAGTAGAATATTTGCTTAGTCAGAAATAATGGATGTAATCAGTCGACTTTATAGCTTTTGAATATGCAAGTAAATAAATTAATTAAGGTATAAGAATTTGATTTGAAATATTTAATTTAATCTGTTCATAATTTGATTAACTTCACAAATGAGACAGTGGTGGCTTGTCCATAAGGGCTGCAGCCTCTCCTGTATAATATGAAATTTCCTGTTTGTTTTATTATCACCATTCTTAAATTTTTATTAATTTATCATATGTAAATTACATGCTTAGTATATATTTTATTAATAGTTTCATTAATGATATAATTTTTTCAATCCATATTGATTTTTGTCTTACTGAAGCCCCATCACTACAAGTTTGTACCAGCCACTACTGAGATTAAGTGTTGATTATAGCCTTGCTAATAAGGCAGGTTAGGTCAGACAACAGCTGTAAAATGAATATTATAGGCTTAAAACAAAATACAGCCTTTTTTTACTTTTTAATGCATGTAAAGGTCTAAAAAGATATTTATATTTTCACTTATTAAGCGTGCAATAGCAAAAGGCTTAAAAGAAGATATAAAATAATAAATAAGTAAAACTCCGAAAACAACAAGGCAAACACTGAAAACAATAAACGTGAATGTACTGTAATTGAAAATCATCATATTAGTGAAGCAGGGAATAAAAAATCTTGTCAAATTATAATATAATTTAAAAGTTGCTGCTTATTATATCAAAAATATCAATATCGATTTAAATTTATTTCTGCAATAGAAATTTTAAAATCGGAATTTATAAACATCGCTGTATTGCTAAAACATTTTTAAAATTAATCTAGAGGTATAGCCAAGCAGAAAAGTTGTAGAAAGTGAATTATTAAAATTATTCGTTAAAATTAAAATATGTTAATAACATTCAAAAATTTTCACAATGATTCGTGATTGGATTATATTGAAAAAAGTAAAAATTCTTTAACTTTTCATATCTGAAATCAAAAGAATACTCGATTCTGACCAAAACGGTACAAAAAATATCTTGTTTGGGCTTTGCAAATTCACATTTTCCGATATCATTTTAAAATCAAAAATAAGAAATGCTATGAGTGACGAACACCTTGATCGAAGTTTAAGATTTGAGATTATCTCTCGTATTATCCTATGTCAGATTTTAATTTTGTATTTTTCCTAGATTGATAGACATTGATAGATAGCGATGTCAGTATAAAAAAAAGCAGCTCTCATGTAAAGGCTAGTCCTGGTCAATAGTGGATCAAAAGGTCTTTAGAGGGGATGAAGAAAGGAAACAATATGACTTAAAAGTTCTTACTAACTGACGTAACCTGCTTTACTCGAGAAAGCCGTAAGGGGTGCAGCTGCGCCCTGCAAATACCCTCTAAATCCATCCTTGCTTTGGTATAGAGTGTCTAGTGTGCAAATGAAATTTAATTCAGCTATATTTAAATCTAACTTAATATATATAAAATGTATCTCTATTTTCTGAAGATTCACTGAGCATTGGTAAAGAACAAACCTTATTAGTTTTGTATTGTATGTCACCGTCACTCTCAACTGATGTTTGTAGTTGTGATTCTTATCTAGTCATTTTTCATATTACATTTTTCTTTTAACTGATTTATTGGGCGTTGAAAAAAGAGGAAAGCTAAATTATTTTATCGTGGAATCATTTTATAATGAATTCTCAAGCTTGATTTTATTTAAATTTGTTACGATTTGACATTAACTTTAGTTATTGATAAAATGTTTATTGGCATTTAAAATATTTTATAATACAGATATATTTGATAAATTTATTTAAAAAGTCAACTTAAGAAATCAATTTCGGCTCGAACGCATTTTCCTGTAGCAACATCAAGAGCGGTAACTTTAATTTCCGTTTCTCCAAACATCATCCTTGTTAGAATTTCTCTCTTTGCTCCTCGAATTTCTGCAGTGGAACGCGGTAAATCTAACACTAAAGTACCACATTTTTTCACTCCTTCATCCGTAACATAACGAACGTTATGAGAACTACTAGAAAATATGTGAATAACACTTTTAGACTGGGAAGAACGAGCCGGAGCGTAACTTCTAACAACAACGTCACCTTGGGCAACCGATTGATCTGCAACTACAAATCTATCAAAAACATCCGTGCACCATTCTACACCATCTTTCACTATCATTTTTTCTGGTAAGTGATAACCATGAACAAATCTGTTGAGTACTCCAACGCCATAAGTCATTCGTGATCTGCGTATGTTGACGATTCCTGGATCCAAACCAAATAACACGGCACCTCTAAGGATAGCTAAACTTACCCCTTGAGGAATAACAACTTTCAATTTATGAGAAAACGCACCACGAATTGCATATTGTAGAACTTGAGATTCAGCAAATCCTCCAACTAAAAATAAGTATGCTATTTTTGGTATACGTTCCAATACTTTTGTAATTTGATCTTTGATGGCGTTGATAGTTGGTTCGAATAATCGAAGCATGGCTTCTTGACTTAACCGGAGCATCCCTTGCGATGACCACTTGATATTAGGATCGTTAAATTTGCGAATTGCTGCTTCAACCTAAAAAAGAAGATTATCTTACATTAGTGTTTTTTTAATTGTAGAATAGAAATATTGTGTCCGTAATGAAAAATTAACTGTTTAAACGTACAGAATAGCCTTTAGTTTTCTTGTAAAAGTCGATAAACGAAAATGGCAAAGAAATGTTTAGTGGATTGTTTTTATAAGGACTTGCGTTTCGCTTTCTAGCTTCAAAAGCTATCATTAAATCGACAAAACCAGCTGGGCGCTTTGTGCGATATTGAAGCATGATTTCTTCACCAAAAATATTATCAAGAAGCGTTAAGAACTCTTTATCTATCCCAACGGATCCAAATGGACCTCCAGTGGCTTTGTGCAACTCTTTTAGAGTACCTTGCTGATCAAGTAATTCGTGAACAGTTATATCTACAGTACCTCCTCCACAATCCACAACAGAATAGCGTATACCTTTAAAAATAAATTATTTTTTTAGGTAATGTATTAACAGTTTATAAAATATCAATAACGGAAGAACATTTTAAAATATTACCATTAGTTTCTGTTACCACAGGATCCATAGCTCCATTATTGGGTTTTTGAATCAATTTTTGAGGTGAAGGTTCATTAGGAACTAACTGATAAACACGAAGTTTTCGGCAATAGATAGATGCTGCTTCGGGTTCTAGAGCAATTAGTAATTGCTCTGGAAAATCCGGAGATGCTATTCCCGCCTGAAAAAATTGAATGATTTACAACTTTTGATTATGTCTCATTGAAAGGCTGGCACTTGAAATTACTTGATAAGCAGCTGCCCTCATGAACTGTTTAGCTGGTTGCCTCCATATTGCTGGAACAGTCACAACCCAACGAATATCATCGTCAAGGAGTCGAGTGGCCGCTTGATCAGATAGCTCTTGTAAAGCATGTTCTTTGAAGTATCGTAGAGCATGAGCAAAAATCGTTAGAGCTGACATCGATTTCCCATTTGTTGCTGTTATTCTAGTTTCTCTGCTTAAATTCTAAATTTAAAAATATTACAATTTACCTTGTTTAATTACACGAATTGGATCATTTAAAATAAATGTTCAGACCTCTATATTATGGAGAGTCATCTTAAATTTTTCGAAATAAAGCCATTTCCTAGCTTCTTGAGGGTCCATGTCATGATAAAAATCTCTTGCTGTATATCCAAATGAATGAAAATCTCCTTCTGAAGTCATAAGCAAAATAGTAGGAGTTTTTTGAGTAATAATTCCTGGATCTCCTCCTATAAAAAATGTAGAATATTTTGAAAATTTTTGTATATATAAAATTACTTTGAAGTACAAGCTATCGCCATTATGATCTACCGAAATATTTAAAAAGGTTTATCAATTGATTTCTATGCATGTCATAAATAGTTCTAAATATGAGTTTATTTCAAATTAAAAATGATAAAATACTAATATAATTTCTTTACCTTCCCATTTTCTCATCATATGGATATTATCTGGATCATGTGTAAAACTAAACGCATAGCCACTGTATGTGGTACCAAAATCTATAGCAACCACTACTAAATAAGACTGATGTGGAGATGAGGTACCAGAATCAACCGAACCATTTCCAATTCCTGCAACCACTGCTCCATCCAAAATCGAAGAATTATGATCACTTTTATCTTCCTGGACTTCTTCAATTAGATTATCATTCTGAATACCTAAATCTCTAGTCTCTTTACCAGCTTTTCCTGCTTGAAGATATCTTGGAGGTTTAGGGGGCGATTGAGAAAATTGTTTTTGATTATACCACAAAAATCTTTGATTGCGATTTACGTTTTCGCTAGTCACTGGAATCTGTTTCTTAATATTTTTGCTACTTTGATTATACGATTCATTCTCAATCGTACTGCTTCCACTAGGATAACTGGCCATCTTCTTCATCATTTCTTTGACTAATGGAGGACTCTTTAATGCTTGAGTAGGCTCTGAATCTGTTTTTCTCAGAAATTCTATTGAAGTTTGTGTTTCAGTTTCAGACAACATTGATTTACAAAACGACCGAAAACGAGAGCCACTTATGTTTTTTCTTAAAATACTATATTCTCTTTGCCAGGGATACTGGTACCTAAATTGATAATATTTATTTAATTAGTAACTATCTTTTAAGTATAAAATAAATTATTTTGTTTATTTCATTTTTAATTAAACATAAACTAATTACAAAAGTAATCATAATTTAATATTTTTCATAATAAATTTTAGTGAATTTTTTGTATTTTATTTAATGTTACTTTTCTGTTTTCTCTAAAGATGTACTGTACAGTACTTTTAGATTATCAAGAAATGGAAACTAATGCCGTCACTTAAATCTTTGCTGATGATTTGTACTTAAAAAGGAATAAAGTTTGAAAACATGAGTGATAAATATTATTTATATACTGTATTTTGTCATTGGCATAATCACAAGCTATGATCATAAACACAACCATCTATCATTGTACTTTTTAAATAAAATTAGTATGGATTTTAGTATGATCCTTACAGGATTTTTTTAATTTTTTGCCTCTTTCCGTGCTTTGGGCACTAAGAGGGCCTTTTTCAGACCCCTCGCGGGTTCAAGCCAGGGGTGTCCTGGGCGGTAAGAAACGGTGTCCTATATCGATTCAGCTGGCCGATGTGAATTAAAAGGTTCTCAGAAAGCCCATAGGACGGAGAGACAAAAATAAAAAGTGATTTTATTTACGTGTCACTTTCCTTTATCTATCTTGTTCATTTATTATTATTAATGAATAATAATACGCCTAATTGCTAATATCGCATTTTTGTGTGATATAGGCTATCCTTATTAAAATAATATGATACAGTAATATGGTATCGGTCATCCAAAATGTTTGGTGATCCAGCATACTTAAAAAATTAGTGAATACTTTAGAATTATTCGATAATACTGCATGCTAGCGTTCCACGAATCGGAATATGTTTGGACACGTGGTGCGTTAAAGATTCTAAGAGGAAATCCGGGCAAAGGTGGGGTGCGGCCGTGCACATTGCTACATGTCGGGATATACTGTAAATTCCGCTTTAGGACCGCCCACTTTTACTACTGACATTATTATTGTATGAAATGTCGTATTTATGTGCCATATTTTTTGTCGGCAACTTTGTATGGTATTATACATTAAAAACTAAACTTTCTAGAACGTAATCTCAATTTATGGCACTAAGCTTATCAGAAATAGGACAGCTCTCCAAGAACTAGGCCTAATTAGATCGTAAAAATGAAGTCAACTGTATAGTGTATTCGTATATCGTATAATACAGAGCGTAACCAGGGGCTGGGTTCCATTACTGTTGTAAATAAAATAAATTAAGAAAAACTCAGCTTTGAATGTAACTAACTCACTTAGACTATACAATATTAAGTTATCCATCCAGTGATACAGAGTGAATGTGGGTTTTTGCACGTTCTAATTAGGCCCTCCTAATATCTGTTCTAGTTACGATAGTGGGTATAGGAAAATATATCTATCATTAAACAAACAAATAAGGTTTAAATTTTGAAGTATTATTTACTGACTTAATCTTATCTCGAAACGAATCGTATTAATTAAAATCTATTACCCGAAAATATATCTTGTCTAAAACTATTCAATATCTTGAATATTTTTATTTAGAAATAAATATAATTTAAACGAATTTATTAAAGAATAAATAAAATATATAAAAATATAAAAATTTTCATTATATCTGGACTTTTGATGAGTGATGATAACTTTCAGAAACGCATTTAAAACGCATCCAAAGTCTTCTTAGACAAGTGAAAAAAATGCCCTTTAAATTCGAATTAATACTGTTTGTGTATATACATAGTATGTGCTGAAAATTTTTTTCTAGTAACTTGTATTTATATAAGTAAATGTATTTTTAAAATGCAAAATTTACATGAAGCGCACAATATTTGGTTGCCCAATATTCTTGCATGTGAACGAGTGTAGATAAAATTTAACAGTGTAGCATTAACATCTATAGTTAATTTTTTGAAAAACTATTAGAAAATTAGTTAATTATAAACTAATCAATGGGCACCTTTTACACAGTGGGTAAAGTTTAACTCTAACCCATTGTTAAAAAGGCATTGATTAATTTAGCTGAGTAACTACAGTGGCTAGTTCATATTTGTTGATAATAAATAGAAAAACTATTACAATATTAAACAATTAGATGTGTTATTATTACTGTTTTATTTTTGCATATTTCGTTCTGTATAGGCTATATTTGTTTTCTAAATATACTATTCGATGGCAAAATAATAATAACGAGCAATTATTTATTGTGACATGGTCACAGTGCCGGGCTGCAATTTTTAATCATATTTTTTATTTATTTAACTTAAAATATATGCTCTCCACCTTAAATTAGTAGTGTCTTGTCCCTGTACATCATATGTTTCTTGATTACCACAGTCTTGCCGGTCATCTATAAGTCTGTTCTGGAGAAAATTTTTGAATTAAAATTACATGATTTCTGGTCTAGATCAGAAGTTCATATATAGTTAATTGGGGCCTTCTGCCCCTAATCTTTCCATATCTGTTCTTGACTTTCATCTACTTAATTCTACTCTCGAGATTAAGGAAGGACAGACATACAGATAGTGGGAAGTTATAGTTCTACAAATTTTTCAAATTGCAGCCTAATAAAAAAATCTATTAACAAATTAAATTCAATTTTAATGAAACAAAAAATATTTTAAATTTTGTTTTTAAGGTGAAGAACTTTAAAAAAAAATTTGCATAACAAAAATGACAATCTTTATAAGAAAAATATTTAATTTTAACTTTAACTATTCGTTGATTGAAAAGTTTCAGTTTTGGCTTTCATATATGTGTTATGTCAATAACAGTTTCTGTGATTATGGCCCTATGGATTGTTGGCATCATAATCATTCTTATTAAAAATGTTCTAAAAAATTCTTAATTTCTTGCTTTTTTCTGTTTTCTATGTATTTTTCTTTAATTCTACAATAACCCATGTGTAAATTTTTCTGTCATTTTTCTATCATCATTCTTGATGTATAAAATATTTAAAGTCAAGTTTAAAAAAAATTTTTTTTCAAATTTTGCAATAAGCTTTTTCTTTTTGCTATGTAAGCTTTATATTAAAGATTACTTTATAAAAAAAAACTAAACTATTTTTCTTGTTCTGCTAACATTGGAATTAATTTGCTTATAAATTTTGATTATGTATTCTGAAGACGAGGAAATGCAAAAGTACTGATTAAATTTAATAATGTATGCTTCTGAAAAGAAAGAGTATTGATTCAGTTACTCTGATTTTTTTTTTTATTTTATAGATTATGTATTGACTTATTTGTAGTAGATATCTTATATCAAAATAAAATACCATATTTATATGGCATGTAAGACAAAAGTTTTGTTCAAAAGTAAGACCTCAAAAAAATCTTTCTGCATCTTATATTTGTAATTGCAATTTTCCTTAGACTGATGAATACATCAAATGGCCTTCAGTAGGCTAAGGGAACCTCTATCTAGCCCAATCCTTGAATAAAAATGTTATTGTTTAATTAAACATATTAACATCATCATCATCATCAGTGGTGATATTCGAAATATATAACAATGGGTTCGCTAACAGAAAATTTTTCCTTAACAATTTTTTTTTCGCTCAAATGGTGCATTAGCAACATTAGCACAAAAACTGACCTTAACATACCCATATAAATAAAAAAGATGCGTTGGCAAAATTAAGTCAGTTAAAGTTTAACATTGTTTATGCCAGAACTATATATATATTGATAAATAATAAAAAAAAGTGTTCAAAATGGTTTATTTTGTACATATTTTAATATTTTTCATTCGAAGTATTTTATAAACATAAAAATTGGCTTATTTTTAATCAGAAAAAGTCAGGTTTAACTGCTTTCCC